CTAAGTTAATAACGTTATAAAATATCATATTGCATATAAAGTGAATTAGTTAGAATCTAATCCACCATTAAAATATTATAAACTTTAAGTATAAATTATTCAAAAAGCTAAACAATATTTTCTATTATCATACCTATATTATATAAAGTTTATCCATCTTTCTTTATTATCACCATCAAAAACACACATATAAACATTGTTTGTACCATTAAAATTCCCTTATACGTATTTAAAACAAAATATTCCTTTAAATGCTCCTTAAGTTTCTAAACATGCACTACTTATCTAAAATTTTCATTCAATCTCCCTAATATCATACATATATTATATAAAATTTATCCCTCTTTCTTTGTCATCACAATCCAAAATACACATATAAACATTAATTGTACCATTGAAATTCCCTTATACATATTTAAAACAAAACATTCCTTTAAATGCTCATTGAATTTCTAAACATACACTTCTTATCTAAAGTTTTCATTCTCCATAATCTTCTCTCCTCTTTTCCAATGACCAGTTCCATCTGCAATGGACTATAAATAACCTTGAAGCAATCTGTACATTCTTTACCCATCTCTCTTAACCAGTAACCTCGAAAAAACTGCTTGAAGATCTACCATTGAAAATTGCGCCGAAGAACTCTTAGGTCTTGCTTCTCCCACAGACTCAGAAACAAATTCTTGTAAAACATCCTTAACCTCCTTCTTCTGTTGTTCCTCTTCCTTGCGTTTATATGCTGCCCGAGTCATTCTCTGCTCCTTTGCTTTAAAAACAGTATTAAGTCTATAACGTGTCCCCACATAGCTCACCACTATTCCAGTCGGGATATCCTATCTGAACGGCATCTGCCTCTTTTTAAGTTCATCTGCTAAAAAAGCAAACTCCTTTCTTCTTCTTAAAATTTTAGATGGAATCTCCTTTAAAATTATAACATCTTGTGCTGCAATCTGAAACCTCTTATTATAAAAAACTTGTATAATTTCATTGCGTAGGGATCTTTTCCCAAAGTAAATTACCACATCTCTTGGCAGATTTCTTTGCTTTGCAACCCAAGAGTTAACTCTAAATATTTTTTCAATTTCTCTGAGTATTTCCTCTTTTTCTCTGTCTAAAATCACAGCAAAATCATTTGCAACCATCTCTCTCAGATCTCCTTGCAGATGTTCACTCAAGCCTCTGATTCTTAAAGCGAATTCCATCTCTCTATATTGAAACATAAGAATCTCATCTTGAAAAATTTCCATCTTTTTTTCCATGCCATCAAATTTTCCCTCCAAGACCTCCACTTTATCTGCAACTTCTTCAACACGAAAATCCAACTTTTCAACAACAGAGGCAAGTCCTTTTAAAGCCAAAACTATATCTTGCCTCAAGATCCTGTTATTTTCCACTAAAATCTCTTTCACTTCTCCCCTAATTTGAGATATAGCATTTCCCATTACATCTTGCAAATCTTTTACCGTTAGTGACTGTACAGAAGAAGAGGGTAATAATGTTGATTTAGGTTGTTGCACTGGTAATATCACCGAAGAAGAAACCACCTTAGGAATAGTAGAAATTACTGGGCATTTTGAAGCCATCTTAAAAGAAAAAATTTTATTTTCCTCTTTCCTTCTTCTTAAAAAATACAAAAAGAAAAAGAAAAAAAGAGTTAAACAAAAGAGAGGGAGATTAACTCAAAAAACCCAAATCCTCCTTCAAAAAAAAATCATTGTAATAAGAAAAAGAGAAATAGAAAAAAAAAATTAAATAGACAAAATCCATTCCGTCTCCTTAAAAGAAAAAATTTCAAATCCTCATTTTACTTTCCCTCTCAACAAAGGAAAAAAAAGGAAAATGAAAGTAACTCTTTATACTTGAAATCCAAACTTAAAATCCAAGTAAAATCAAAAAATAAAATCCTCTAATCAGCTCTGTCCGCTTTTTAAATAACTCACCAGTTCTCTTTAAACGCGGAGGTGGGAGCGGTGTCTTGCTTTGTCCCAAACAACAAGGGACAAAGGCACCTGAGAAGCGGAGACACCCTGAACTCTGTGGGAGCACTCCTTTCACCCCAAAAGAAACTCCTTTGGGGATCTCAGAGGCTCAACCACTATTCAGGGTGAAACTCCCCTCCCTCCCTTGGCCCGGGAAGGAGGTTTCAAACCGCAGAACAGCTGATGCCTGCTGTTCTCAGCGGTTTTAACACTGACTCAGGAGGACGGCTACAAAGTAGCCGCCATCGCCAGCGCTACACCACCGGAAGTCAACAGTTATACTCTTTTATCTCCCTTGAAGCACAGATAGCAATTTTCCCAGATTTAAAACTTTCCACATTTATTTTCATTCTAGGTAAAAGTTTTTTAAAAATTTAGCAAAAAGCAAAAATTAGAATTCTAGGAAGGATTTTAATAAAGATGTAACAGCACTATTAGCATTTTTACTATGTTCTATTCTCCCTATCCTCATAGAAATAACTATAAAGAGTCATAAAGATTTTTATTTGACTTTCCAAATAGTTCAAAGTTTTGGGGAATTGGGTAGTATATAAATGTAATAAATTATTATTTGTAAAGTTCCTTTTTATTATAGATATATTTCAGAAGGTAAGCATAATGATTGAGTAGACAACACTGAGCAGCTGAATTTATTAAGAACTGAAGCAGAATTGTAGGTAACACGTTAGATTACAAATTTTGTTTTCTTTCTTTTTCTGGACAGTCTTTCTGAGAAGTTGTGCTGGATGTTTGCTACCTTGTGTTATTTGTAAAAATAATAAAGGTGGGATACAAATCAATAAAAATAAAAAATATAAATTAGAGAAAAGACAGGGAAAGTATTTTTAATAATAATATTTTTTTAAAAAACAAGGAAAATAGTGAAAACTGAAGAAATCAAGATGCCCCATGAAAATAACATTAAGAATCTGGATGAGGAAGATTACTACAAATACTTGGGTATCCTTCAAGCTGACAACATCAAGCACACTGAAGTCAAGAAAAAGATTAGAGGTGAATAGATTAGAAGATCAAGAGAGTGAAGAAGATCTTAAAGTCCAAACTCAATGGAGGAAATGCCATGAAGGCAATCAACACCTGGGCAATTCCAGTCATTAGATACACAGCTGGAATAGTGGACTGGACTCAAGCAGAACTAAAAGCAATGGATAGGAAGACCAGAAAAATAATGACAATGAATCATGCCCTTCATCCACGCAGTGACATTGACAGACTTTATCTACCAAGGCAAATAAGTGGGCATGGAATGCTGCAAGTACATCAGATGGTTGAAGAAGAAAAAATGGCTTTGGAAGAATATCTGAAGGACAATGATGAAGATGCACTGAAATTAGTATATCAGGAAGCCTTACTGACTACTAGAGAGACCAAACTGGCCTACAAGAAAGACCAAATGAAGAACAGAATAGAGGTATGAGAAGACAAAGCACTACACAGTACATTAAAAAAATAGCTGGGAAAGCAGATAATAACAAGACCTGGCAATGGCTAAGAGCAGGAAAATTGAAGAAAGAGACTGAGGGACTAATTCTGGCTGCACAAGACCAAGCCTTAAGGACAAATGCATATAAAGTCAAAAGTGAGAAGACAGCAACAGACAGTAAGTACCGCCTATGCAAAGAAGCTGAAGAAACAGTGGACCACCTGGTAAGCTACTGCAAGAAGATCATACAGACTGACTACAAGCAACAGCATGACAAAGTAGCAACAATGGTGCATAGGAAGATCTGCAAGAAATATCATTTGCCTGTAAGCAAGAACTGGTGGGATCATAAAATAAAGAAAGTCATAGAAAATGATAAAATTAAACTACTCTGGGACTTCAGAATTCAAAAAGACAAGCACCTGCAACATAACACCCCGGACTTAACAATTGTTGATAAGAAAGATAAAAAAGTCTGGATAGTGGACATGGCAGTGCCTGGAGACAGCAGAATAGACGAGAAAGAACTGGAGAAGATAACAAAATACAAAGACCTACAAATAGAAATAAGACTGTGGCAAAAGCAAGCAAGGGTAGTGCCAATAGTAATAGGCGCCTTGGGTGCAATCCCAAAGTAACTGGAGCACCATTGGCATTGACAAATTTGCCATTAGTCAATTGCAAAAGGCGGCCTTACTAGGAACTGCTTCCATCCTGTGACGATATCTGTAATACCAACAAACGTCCACATCTGCCTGTCCCAGGTCCTTGGTAAGGACTTGATAGGCAGACAAAAATGCCAAATCCAGTCTGAAAATCTGGCTGACTGTGCGATGATCAATAATAATAATGATGGATGTCCAATCTCTTCTTAAAAATTTCCAGTGTTGGAGCATTCACAGCTTCTGGAGAGAGGGTGTTGCACTGATTAATTGTTCTAACTGTCCAAAAATTTCTCCTTAGTTCTAGGTTGCTTCTCTCTTTGGTTAGTTTCTTCTTGTGCTGCCTTCAGGTGTTTTGGAGAATAGCTTGGCTCCCTCTTCTTTGTGGCAGCACCTGAGATATTGGAACACTGCTATCATGTCACCCCTCGTTCTTTGTTTGCTTGATTGTTTTTGAGATTCGATTGGCTATTAAAACAAGACTATCATTATTTACAAGATGTGTGTCCAAAACACTGTATGAACTTTAGCCATGTCTTCTGGAAAACTTCCATTTGCCTAATTTGTTTTTCCCTTTAAAACACAGACAATGCTTACTACATTATACATCAGTCAATATTTATAACTGAAGACCTGGAGTTTAGTTAAAACATTTTGATTTTGCATTTTAGGCTATTTATGAAGTACCTTTGATTGGATATTATCATATTATCAGCAAGTGTTGATCCATCAATACTAATTCATGTTATAAAGTTTTGAACAATGATAGTTGAAAGCTGGGATATATTTTTTAAAAAAAACTAAAATATGAGGCTATGTGAAATTTGCTAAAATATCTTATTAAGTGATACTGTGTTTATGTATTTTTATTTTATACTTAGTAATGTTTCAATCATAATTTAAATATAATTTCAGATGCAGATGGAATTAGAAAAAAGTATCATCAAAGAACTGGACCAAGGTAAATAGCAAATTATAGGCTGACAATTTGATATGCATTCTGCTGTTTGCATCATTTCCCTCCCCCAAAGAAAATGATACTAATACTGCAATTTTGACACACTGCACCTCATCAATTACATTTTAGAACCTAAATGTGGCCACAGTAAAACTTTAACAACTTATTTTTAGAATATAAAAATATAAAACCCATTATTACCTGTTGAAAATAATCTGCATCATAGAAATATAGTTCTCATGTATAATATACAATGTAAATAAGGAAGCAGTCTAACATCTAATATTTTAGATATATTATTAGATGATAAAAATATTATAAGCAATTTCTTTAGAGCCTCAGTCATTATGTATTCAATAGATGAAAGGTAAAGCTCCACTGAGACTAATAAAATTTAAGTGAGGTGTAACTTATTCCATTGACTTTAAACATGATAGCATGCTAATTTATAATTGATGAATTGCTTTAATAAAGTAAGTCATGCAAACTCAATTTTGAGATGGAATTTGAACCTAATTACAAATTGCTTATATTACTCACGTTATGTACTTTATTGCATATTGGAAAGATTTTCTAAATCTATATGCATGTTTCATTTTGGATTATCCAAATGAAATAACATATAGATAGAATTAAACTAAAAATGTGAAAGTGATACCTTAGCATTTCTACAAGGCATGTAAATGTTAGTACTTTCATCAAATAACCATGTTGATTTTTGGACCACAGAAAATTCTCCATTGTGGAGTCCGTGATGTTCTCTTGAGCTTGGTTGTTTGCTTGTAGACATTTCATTACCCAACTATGTAAGATCAGTGATATTGAATGTGGAGCTTTGTTGTCTCTGTGTGCGCACACACACACAAACACACACACACTGTATATTAATGTAGCAAATCATTCACTAGCAGTGATGTTGTTTCCTTGTTGATGAAATTTCTGCAAGTAAACAAGCACCAAGAATTCCCACAATTCAATCCTGAGCTACATATATTCTCTTCTATTGGAATATCTCAATTAAAAGCATTCCAGAAAGCCTACATTATTGAGTTTATTGCAGTTTGTAGCCTGATTTTTACTATATATAAAACCTCAAAGCATTCCCTTTGACTGTTCCAGTATGATTTATTCTGCATAGAAGAAATTGGTAATTTGGAATAAAACCGTTATCCTTATTTCTAAATTGTGTATAATGTTTGTAAAGGTATATACTATGGCTAGAAAGTTGTTTTTTAATTTCATAGCAAAATAGACTTTTAAAAATAGTGTTCATATCCAACAAAATTGGCATTCTGATACCATTGTCACTATCATCAGATATTATAAAACCTGTAAAAAAATATTCTTCTTGTTTTTCAGCTAAAGCTGAATTTGATGCTGGATCTGTTAGAGTCTCTCCTGTAGGATCAGTTGATGGATCTTCAAAAAAATCAAATATAGACCAAGATCAAGTTTCCAAGGCAAGACAGCAGTATCTAGATGTTTTAAAGAAAAACTATATGATTTGAATAAAGTCTGCAAACTTGTAGATGTGACTTGATTACATAACTTTTCAACAGAATGCATATCTGGCATTATGCACTTGTATGTAGAGAAAATAGTTCATAGTCCTGTGGTCCCCCTTACTTTTTTTTATGTTCTCTCCACCACACCATATTTTTCTTTAGTAAATTCACACTAGCCTATATCTTATAAAACTGCCTTTGTTAAGTTTGTAGTTACATGTACAATATAAACAAAACTCTTTCCTAGATCTGCTCTTGCACTTTCAATTTGTATGTTGTCAGGTAAGTTACTATGTTTCTCTGATGCATTTATTTTATGCCCTCAAATGCATTCCATATACATGTAATTTCTACTTGTGTTATTAATCACTTTTGCATAGTACAGCATTAGGCATCCCATACTGATTATGCTATTCCTGCAGTTGTGCCAAGAGACTTCTGACCTGTATTTTTAAGTAGTGCTGAAAATGCATTGAACATTTGATTATAACAAAATCTTAAGCATTTTCTGTATCTTGAACTAATGGTTCAGGCTATTGTTTAGCTTTTCAAGGGTATCAGGTGCCATTGAGATAGAATATGTTCAAGTGATAGTGTGTGTCCTAAGTTTACAATTTCTGGAAATTCTATTAATTTTGAATGTTAGTACATAGGTAGCTTACACACACACACACAAGCCCTAAGATGTATCACAACTTTTAGCAGCTCCATTCATTAGAAGAATGATAGCTGATAGTGGAATTCTGTCTCCTAATCTCAGCTGGAAGATTAGAAGGATCTTGCACCCTGAACTACAGGTTAGGGATGGAAAGGGAAGTTTCATTCATAATGTTGCAAATCATCCCTACTGACATGAATACATTCAATTATTTAAAATGTCATAGTAAATTACAACTACCCAGTCATTTTTTAAGAAATTAAAAATATTTTTCATTATTATGCATCCTAATACATTCAATGATTTAAAATAGCATAGTAAATTACAATGGCATAAATCACCCAACCACTTTTAAAGAAATTAAAAATATTTTTATTATTTATGCAGTGTATTTAATGTGATTTATTTAATAAAATTTAAAAATCATTGCTGTTTCTGAATGTTGTTCCCAGCAAAATATTCCTTTTGTGTCAACTGTTTAGAATTTTCATTTCCCTGTGTTGTAACTTTTAGATAACACTTTTAAAGTTGCTTTTTCCTATTGCTATGTTGAACTTCTAAATACATGAATCAGTAGTAAAATGTATAGTTTAATTTACATAAAGCTATAACAGTAAAAATAAGTATAAATGATCCAAATTATATAAATTTTAAAAAGAAGTCATGCCGTTGTATAAATAATTCTGTACAGCAGTCATTATTTTGTCTTTCAATGTACAACTGAGTTCAAAGGTTCTGCTCGAATATTTCCCAAGTCAAGGGCTGAATCTGTTTCTTCATCTATTTCTCCAATTACAGCTCTGAAAAAGAAATTTTGATTGTTCTAGGTAAACATATATTTTAAATTAAATACCAACAGAATCTGCATGCCATTTTATTACAAAAATACTTATTTCTACTTAACATTCTTTTCATACTTCACAGCAAACTGAAAAGTATTAATGAAATTCTACAAAAGAAGGATATAATATCTAGTCCAAGAGTGTGGATTATACTGTAAGTTATCACATAAAAAAACCTTTAGAGACAATAACTTGCACCAACAATACAGAAAAGTATTTTGTGCAAAAATAATTTTAAAAAAGAAAATAAACAATTATTTTTCTCTCTTAGAGTGCAGTCATATACATGTACAGAAAAATAAGTTCAAGAAAACGTACAGAAGGTTCAGAGGGAATATCAAATTTTGGCATAACTTGGCTGCTTAAGAAATAATGCCTGGTTATAAATGTTACACAAGAGATGCTATTAATGAACACAGGAATAAAGAAAGCATATGGGTTGAGTTATAAAAGAAATTCTATATAAATATTAGTATCAAGTAGTTGGAAGTGCAAAGGAAAGTGAATTTTCATCAATGAATAATAGCATGAAAAGCCTTAAAGCAGACTTTTCAAACTGTGAGGTACTTTTCTTGGGGAGGTGTAGACAGAGTCCAGGGGAGATGTGAAGGCCTTTTAATTACATTGCTACAATACATCAACCTTTTCCAAAATTTCAATGTACTGTGTTGTTTTAATTGTTCATTTGATGAATAATTTGTTTAGATTTTTAAGAAAGGGTGTATACCTTAAGACAGTGATGGTGAACCTTTTAGAGACCGAGTGCAACCCAAAACCCACTTATTTAACGCCAGGTGCCAGGTGAGCGTGGCCCACTGGGTGGACGTGGCTGTGGTGGTCATGGCAGACTGGGTGGGTGTGGCCAAGGTGGGCGTGGTCACCTCAATGTTGCTTGCGGGGAGGGATGCCTGTGGGGGCCAGGCAGGGTTGGGGGAGATCCAGGGGGTCTCTGGCAGGTGAGGCAGTGGGCAGGAGGCTCATCCTGCAGGGTGAGGCAAGGCGAGGCAGGGTGGAGGTACCATTGTCACAGGGCAAGGGCGGCTGCTGCCTGACACCATTGGCGCCCACACACAGAGACCAACGAGCGCATGGAAGCCGATAGTGTCCATCAGCAGCACACTCTGGGGCTCCGCAGCCTGCCACCAGCAGTTCAGAGAAACCGCCTCTGAGCTGGATTGCTGGCCGACAGCTGAGGGGGCGATGCAGTAGGTCGTGCCCGGGAAAAGGAGAGCATGCGAGGCCAGGAGGGATGGGAGGGGGGAGAGGGAAACCAGCCATGCTGGGATGCATCCGGCCACACGGGACCTCAGCGAGTTAGCAGGCGGCTGGTTGAAGAGGGACGGTTGCCATCTCCGGGGCATGGCACAGGTTCGTCACGTGCCATAGGTTCGTCACCACTGCCTTAAGATTATACTAAAGGGAGATGTGATGGGGGAAAAAAACCACAGCTTAGAGGGACACCAATAACCTTGTTTCCAGATAGGCTCACAAAAAACAGATGATTTCATGTAACTGCAGCTGGGATTATCTTCAAAATGATAAAACTTACACATTATCTCCTCTTACAATGTATAACCCCAAAACTACTTGTTCCACTCCTTGTGAAGAACTGAATACTCTTTCATGGCTCTCATCCAAAATCAAATTGATTGTCTGATCAAACCCCTTGAGAGTTCCCTAAAATAAATATGTAAGTCAATCAAATTTTCATTTGTAAAGCATATTTGTTACAATTCTTTATTTCTTAACTTTTAAAAATCTGAACAACAGTTCATATTTAAATGATATGGATAACAATAAATTATACATTGACATCAAACCAGGTCTGGGCTATTGTTCTTTTTTTTCTCACCAGTTGAGTTTTTCTGCACCAATCAATTAAAAAGGTAGATTTCTCCTGTCCAGTCAACTCTGACTCTAGGGCAGACATGTCAAACACAAGGCCCATGGGCAAGATGCGGCCTGCCAAGGGCCCAAATTTGGGCCCTGGAGCTGTTCCAGAAATAGCAAGGGAGCGGCCCCCACTGCCCCAGCCCTGGCCCACCCCAACCCGGCTGGGTGCCTCCCGGCACACACATAGGAAATGGTGAGCGCTCGGAGGCTGGTGGTGCGCAGGAGCAGCTGCAGCTCATTTGCCTCACCCCATCCCATCTGTCCTGGTCTCGCCCCACCCCTCCCGGCCTTGCCCATCACACCTGGCCGTTTTACTGGGTCTCTCCTTGTCCGGCTCTGCTTTGCCAGGCCTCATCTCACCAAGCCTGGCTCCACTTTGCTGGGCCAGGCACCAAAGCGCCCACTGAAAACAGCAGTCTGTGTGTGCACCTGCCTTGCCCAGGTCAGCCAAGCTCTCCACGGCGCGCTACAGATGATCCGAGGCATGGAAAGCAAGGGCTGCTGCTCGTCTTCCTCCACACTAGCGCCTCCATGCCCCGCTCACCAGCCTGGTTTCATAGCCTGCAAGGCTTTTCTTTCACTGGGATCGCCCCACCCCCGAGTGGGAAAGCCACGGCCGGTGGCTTCCTTCCTGAGGTGGAGGAGACAGAATGGGAGCTTTAGGCTTCTGCTTGCCAGTGTGCGATAGGAGATTGCACGGGCTGTTGGGGGGGGGAGACACAGCAGGTGAACAGCAGCGGCTTGCGGTTTCTGGCATGGGCAGTTGGAAGCAAAACTGCCCTTTCGGCAGGCGTAGAGTCAATCCCGGCATGGAGGCAATGGAGGGGAGTGAACTAAAAGGGAAGGCACTGCTCCACACGGTTTTTTTTTAAGCTGCCAGAGGCTCCAGACCAGTGGTTCTCAACCTGTGGGTCGGGACCCCATTTGGGGTCGAACGACCATTTCACGGGGTCGCCAAACCACGCTGTCCGCCATTTTTTTCCCTTTTCCCTAGCTGTCCTACTCCCTCTTATTGGTGGCCACACCCATTTGGGGGTCACCACAACATGGGGAACTGTATTATGGGGTCACGGCATTAGAAAGGTTGAGAACCACTGCTCCAGACAAAGGTTTCCCATTTTGACCCCTTCCCCTATCGTTTCCTCTTGCTCCATGGCTCTCAGCTCACCTCTCCCAGAACCTGCACATATGTTTGTATGAGTGTGTGTGTGCGTGTGGGGGAGAGGGTCTCACCTCCTGCAGCCCCACGCTGCAGCGAGAGAAGCTATGATGGGAGCTTCTTGCAGTCTTCCACAGGGCTGGGGGCGGGAGCTGAGGGGGGCAGGGCGCAATGCAATTGGCAGTGCATTGAGAAAAAGAAACAAATATTCCAAAAAAACAGCTTCCATTAGTTTGCAGCCTGCCATCGAGAAGGCCTCTGTTGAGGGTGCGGGGCTGCAAGGGGTGAGAGACACACACCTTCGTGTGCGCTCACACACACAAACACACTGTGTGGGTCTGGGAGAGGTGAGCTAAGCCATGCAGAGGCAATGGGGGGGAGGAGAAGCCTTTGCCCACCGCTGGCTGCCTATTGCCACTTCTGCCTGGAGCCTCTGAAACTTAAAAAAAAGCAAGGAGAGAATGGAAGGAAGGAGAGAGAAAGGGAGAGGCATTTCGGTTAGAAATGTCACAGTTCAAAGGAGAAAGCTATTTTGTGTTCTGTTTTGTGACAGACAGAACTTTGTTGGCAATCCAAGTTAACATTGGTATTCTTAAATCGTGAGTTCTTAGGAAAGTATCCCCTCCTTATATGTTGCAAACAGCCATTTCCAGTGGGGAAAGCAGGACAAAGCAGAGTGGGGAAAATATTTTCCTTTGGTCTATTTCCAGTCTGAATTAGACCAAGACAGGCTCCTTACAGGAGACCCCTTTTAAGAATTACCGTATATGCCGGCGTATAAGGCGACTTCCGCAAGCGTTAAAATCGGCGCCAAAGACGGGGGTTGTCTTATATGCCGAGTCGTCTTACACGCCGGAAATACTGGTAGTTTCCGGCGTATAAGACGACGTTCTAGGAATGCGACTCGGCGCCAAAGACGGGGGTCGTCTTATACGCTGGGTCACCTTGTACGCCAGCATATACGGTATGTATTAATAGGAAAAACAACTAATTTACCTCTACTCATAAAAGATAAAGCTGTCCCACATAAAAAACAGAGGAGCTCTTATTAACTATCACAGCCACCATTTTGACAGTTTTGCTGTACTGTTGTCTGCAGACACCCCCACTAAAAGCAAGCACGGGATAAACTGAGACTGTTTGTTCTCAATCTTTTAAGTGTCCACAAACTACTAGCAAAAGTGGCATTTGATCACAAGGTAAGAAGGCATGGAGAAATGTTTCCCCTTTTGCATTTGAGCATCCAAGAAGGGACAGGAAAGGAGAAAGGGAGAGAGGAAAGACAAAGAAAAAAGAAGGAAAGAGGGGAAGGAAGAAGAAAGAAAGGAGAATAAAGTGGGAAGGAAAAAGAAGAAAAGGGAGGGAGGGAGGGGATCTGAGAGGATCTGAGGGAAGTGCTGCCTTAGCACTTGGCCACCAGCAGCCTTGCTGCCCTTTTGCCATCCCCTTGTCTCCTCCTATCTCTCCTGGTGGGCTCCCATCCTATTGCTCAGGATACTTTAGTTACAAAGCCAGGTTTCCTCATATGGAGAGGGAGTGAGCCTCCCTCTACCCACATACTTTGCCCTCCCACACACATCATGAGCAACTTGGCCAAGGAGAGCAAGAACAGCAGCAGCAGCTTCCAGGAGGAGGAGGTAAGTGCAGCAGGACATCCCTTTGGGACAGCAGGGCTGGGCTGGGATGAGCTGTGGGGTCCCGGTGCCCTGGGAGCTCGACCAGGCTGGATCCCCACAGCCCCGCCCGGGCCACACAGGTGCTTCCCAACACAAGTGATGTCGATCTGGCCACGCCCATCCCGACCACACTCACCCGTCTCCCCAAGGTCAACCACAACCCTGATGTGGCCCTCAGTGAAATTGAGTTTGACACCCCTGCTATAGGGGGCAGCACTCATCTCGTTTTCTAGCTAAGGGATTGTCTAAAGCAGTGGTTCTCAACCTTTCTAATGCCGCGACCCCATAATACAGTTCCCCATGTTGTGGTGACCCCCAACCACTTATACATCACCGGGTGCCAGGGGCGTGGCCAAAGGGGAAAAAATGGCGGACAGCCTTGTTTGGCGACCCCCGTGAAATGGTCATTCGACCCCAAATGGGGCCCCGACCCACAGCTTGAGAACCACTGGTCTAAAGACACTTCCATGATAATATGGCCAGAATGACTATACAGCGAGGCACACAGAACGCTGTTACCTTCCCTCTGAAGGGGTACCTATTTACCTACCTGCATTTATATGCTTTCAAACTGCTAGGTTGGGCAGGAGCTGGAGCAAGAACAGAAGCTCACAGCACTACCCGGTATTTGGGTCTCAAGCTGCCAACATTCTAGTCAACAAACCCCATGTCTTACCTGTTAGACCACCACGATCCATCAATTATATCCACTTATTTCTCCCACCAGTGGGTTAGGGTCAATTAATAGTTGACAGTTAACTCTGCAAATCTAGATATCTATGCTATAATACAAGGACATCACACCCGATTATTTCCACAATGGAGAAAAAGTTCCTGAATGAGACTTTAACACTAGTGGCAGGCAAAACAGCACACCATCCCACTTTTGATACAAGTCAAACATTTTAGAAAATAAATGAGTTTAAGAGGAAATCTTACCACAATCATTCGACCATCTGAAGTAATCACAGCAACAGTACCTAAAATTCATGTCAAGGAATGACCTTAAGTTGTGTGTCTTTGTTTACATATTTATATTAGTGTGTGTATATTTCTCTTGTTCCAGCTCCTGCCAAATGAAAAGGATAAGCTCACACTTGCTAATGCTACATATAGAGCCCTTTAAGAAACTAGATCTCTCCCCATTCAATACCAACGTTTCGGCAACTATGCCATCTTTTCCTCACACAGAGATTTGACGTCTGTATGTGCATATACCTTACTGTTACATTTTCAAGAAAACCTAGAATCCATTGCACCGCCCAGCAGGGCGTCGCTTTCATTCTATAGCAAGGCTCGCCCCATCGCACGAAATCGAACCATCCAAACGGAGCCGATTCTAAAAAAAAAAAGAGAATGGCAGAACTTGCAGCCAATTGCAGGCCGCCGAAATCCCCTCGCGCGCGCGGAACAATGGCAAAGACTAACGAAATGCGAAATTAGACGAAAGCCCCTCAATGCTTTATTTTCCCATCCCATCCCCCTTTAGCCTCGACCCTTTAGCACTCGCGTATTTTTCACCGCTTTTGTAGTGTTCGTGCAACGGAAGGATACGGTTGATATAGTTTTCCAAAGCCGAGGTCATAGCGACGTTCCCAATTGAATCCTACGCGCGGTCGCCCAGGATAAGCTATCGCGAGGTTTCCCGATCTCAAGCAAGAAATTAAATCCTCTCACGTGGTATCCGGGCATTGATTTTGTTCACTGCGCGCGCGCCAGAGAGAGAGAGAGAGAGAGAGAGAGTGTCGCTAACCTTCTGCAGAGCATGCGTTCTGTGGGTTCTTAAGATGTAGAAAAGAATAGAGTAGTCACATATTCGTTAGAAAAAGGCTCTTCAGATTCTATTTTTCTTAAGGGTTCCCTGCACATAAAAAAATGGCTGGTTAGCCGACCCATATGTTTTATACACCTTTCTTCAAATTGAAAAGAAAAAAAGACTTAGAATGTTAATTTAATACAGAGTTCATTTAAAACTGGCGCCAAGGATATCTAGAAGCAGCATTCCTTCACGGTTAAAGTTAATAGAGTTCAAGAAAGGCTTAGCCTTCGGATGAGTCTAAGGTGGCCCGATGTTATCAGTCTTTCTCGCGATCATACGCAGGGCGGAACAGGACTACGGGAGTCCGAGCGCTCTAGGGACGGGTTTTCTGTTGTTCAGAGAGAGAGTGACGCCCGACTTGTTTGCAAAATTCCGGACTATCGATGGTAGCGGGAGCTGGTCTGTCACTATTCAGTGCTTGGCCGGATTTTTGCAGCTCGGATCCTTTGGCTCACTCTCTTCCCAATTGCAGGGCATGGTGGTCTATTTGAGTGGGGAGACACGGTTCGGTGGAAGAATCTATCGCTGAAGGATTATGCACCGAGTCAATCCACCGTAAATTTATTTTTGCAGTTGCATTTCAGAATCAGAAGAAATAGGTCTGTTTTCACAGTCTGGCTGATACAGAAATACAATAAAGTCCGTGTATTACAAGACGCAGAGGAAAAACGTTTTTTGGCGGTGCACACCCTACACCTGCATTCCCAGATGCATTTTTCAGTATGATAAAGTTTGCTTGATTATAACCTTGCCGGGTGGGAATTTGGGACCAATTTGTTTTTGTACCATATTCGGTAGACCTGGTCCATTATTTTACAGTTTATCGTGGAAATGCAGAAAATACACTTATTCAGTAAGCAAGGAACGTATGAATGTGTCTGTATTGAGCTGAAAAGCACTTAGCAGAATAAAACAGGTATTGGAGGCTGGAAAGCTAAGAAACATTTCCTCATTTACTGACCAGGAAGGTTTTAGAAAACTGTCCAAAACAGTACTGCAAACATGTGCGTGAGATAAATATGTTGCTTCTTGGTGCCATAGTCCAGGGCTTTTTAACCAGTGGTACGGGTACCACCTGTGGTACATTGGCACCTGGCAGGTGGTACGCGACTATCCTAGAAAAGTGGTAGCGTGGGAGTGAAATGAGCTAAACCGGTGGCAGCACTGCACAAGTCTGAGCGAGATGGCTGGAGCTGCAGGGCTCAGTGGAAGCACCAGGATCAGCGCCAGGCTCCAGCTGGAGCTCAGTGCTGATCCTAGCATTTCTGCTGAGCCCAGAAGAAGCTCCAATCAGCTGGAATGTTGCAGCATCTCAGGGTCTTGTGGTTTACATTCAGATGCTTGGCAACTGATTCATATTTATGATGGTCACAGTGTCCCAGGGTCATGTGAAGTGATCCAAACCTGCTGCAACCACCCAGCAGATGGGGGAATAAAAACCAAACACCCCCACCCCATCCCCGCTGCCAATCCTCAACATAAATGCTCACAACAATGAAAACCTTGGACAGGAGGAAGAGCGCGGCCGGGTGGGTAGGCAGATGTTTTGCTCGGCTTTGGCTTGGGGGGCACTTTTTTCAGTGCCATTGTAACTTTGAACAGTCACTAAGCGAACTGTTGTAAGTCGAGGACTACCTGTACTTCACTTTTTTTTTTTTTTGGTCATCAAGTTTTTCACACCTTGCTGGGTGATTGGTGATACTTGGATGTTGCCATATCCTAAAAGTGGTACAATGGGTGAAAAGGTTGAAAAGCCCTGCCATAGTCCACCTAGGAATTTGTCAGATCACCAAAATTTTGGCCAGTAGACATGTGAAATTTTGAGAGTAAATTGCAAATGTTTTGACTGCCATGGGGAGGCAGGTTGCAGTCACAAATTAAAAGTGACAAAGCAGAATGTTAAGAGGGAGTTCTGTCCGTGTTTTGATCCCTGCAAGTGTTACCCTGGGGATCTGGTTACAGTTGTTCACATTCTAAACACAGCTCCTTGAAGTCTTTTCTTGAGCAATATTCAGTAAATACTTTAAAAGGCTTTCAATGTTTTAGGACACTGGAAATACAGAGTATATAATCCAAAATACATGGTTATCTGGAAAGTGTAATGTAGACAGGAAGAAGTGCATGAACTTTTCTCCATATCAGTAATACTTACTGTATGCGAAATTTAGAAAGAAATTCCTAGAGTTTCAATAGAAGAAAATATTTGTAACTCAAGGGTGAACTATGGGGACCTTGGTGCTCTCTAAACTTTATTGTTTTCTTGTAGATGCTTCATTACCCAACAAGGAAATGTCTGCAAATAAACAACTATGCTGTATGGACCCCACGGTCCATAGAGCAGACCCCTGCCATAGAGTTTTGTTAGCCTTATTTCCAATTGTTTTGGAGTCATTGGTGCTTCTGAGCTTGGTTGTTTGCTTGCAGATGTTTAATTACCCAAATAAAAAACATCTGCAAGTTAGCAACCAAGTTCAGAGAGCACCAAGGTCCCCACAGTCCATGGAGTTTCTTTGGCCTTACAGCCATTCATTTAATGACTGTTTGAAGTTACAATGCCACTGCAAAAAGGAACTTATAACCATTTTCACTTTTAAAAGCATTGTGACATCCACACAATCATGTAATCAAAATTCAGACATTTGGCAACTGACATGTATTTATGGCAGTTGCAGTGTCAAGCAAAGTCAAGGGTGAAGCCAGATATACTTAACCATGTTACTAACTTAACTACAGTGATTCACTTAACAACTGTGGTAAGAAAGCTTGTAAAATGGGGTAAAACTCACATAACAGCTGTCTTGCTTAACAATATAAATTTGGGGCTCAGTTGTAGTCCTAAATCAACGATACTTGTATTTCAAAATTGCTGAGAAGTCATTGGTGCTCTCTGAGCTTGGTTGCTTGCTTGTAGATGTTTCATTATCTGACTATGTAATATCAGTGCAGATAAGTGTGGAATTTGTTCCCTGTTTATATACAGTAGCTTGCCCTGCCAGTTTTGGTGGAGATGAGGTTTTCTCTTTGGTATTTCTTTGATTAGGATATTGTTTTCTACTTAATTATTTATTTGGTATTAATCCTGGCTTATCTGGGTCCTTGACTGCTGGAGGGGAGGTGCTGTAGTCTTTTTTGTTTCCTTTTTAGCCTGTTGTTACCTTTAAATGGTTTATAAATATGATTTATTTCTATGTGTCTATTGATGGTTGATTTGACTGAATGTCAAGCTTTCAGGAATTCACTAACATTTTGGTCTAGGATACTAACATTGAATTTGGTTCAGGATGCTCACAGCTTCCCAGTTGAATCAGGTTGAGTCTCTCTATCCATTGTGAAATTAAGGAGTTTTCATCATGTCTTCTGATTATTAGTGGACTGAGTGATAAGGCAGTTTTTGATAAAGATGTCCGAGAAGAGCAGTGTGTCATTCTCTTTTTCCCTTGTAAACTTTATTCTTTTAAAGATGTTGTTGGTTGTTTCACGTGTCTTCTATAGATGTACCTTTTTTATTAGTATGGAAGGATTATATAGGCTGTTTCTTTTTTCTGTTGTTCTGGGTTACTGCAATTCATTTGTGAATAATGCTCTTACACAACTCCTCTTGTGGGAGATTGGCTTGTTACTTTGGCAATGGAGCACTTGATTAGTGTGGGTTGGTTTTCTATAGACTGGCATTTCTGATTTGCCATTGTTTCTTCTGATGATGATGTCTGGGAAAAGCAATGTGTCGTTTTCTTTTTCCCTTGTGATTTTTGTTCCTTTAAAGATGTTGTTGATTGTTTCACGTGTCTTCTCTGGTTGTTCCTTTTTTATTAGTATGAAAGTATCATCAGCCTACTGAATCCATACACTATGAGTCCTAAAAGTGGTGATCACATGGTTGTTGTTATGTTTGTCCATCAAACTTAAAGAAGGCAGTAAGAAAGAGATTGATGAGGCCCATCATCAACCTTTCAACCTTAGTATATTTGGCTAGGTCCGCTGTGTTGTACTGTATTTCTGCCATGGATTCTACCACTACTTCTCCATCTACGAATGTAAAAGTTTGTTGTGACATTGAATGAAATCATAATTCCATCTTCTGGAAGCATTGTAATGGGGAGTTGATTCACTCCTCTCTGTGAGATGTCTAAGCTTTTTTTGTAAGTTCTTTGGCTACATTGTACGTTGGGGGCCCTGGTAACAATACAATTGGTTTAGAGGCATGTTAGGCTGGCATATTTGGGGGCATCCATAAAGTGAGGGAGGATGGGTTCACTGCTTTTCATCCATCACTCTCCTTTCTCTTCTATTGGAAACACCTATGGGCATCAAACACTTCAGAAAACACGCAATGGGAGAAATTTGCATGTAGGCAGACTTCTACCAAGAAACAACTATTCTTTCTGCAAAAATGCCTATGACAGGATGCCCTGCTCACAAGTGTCAGCCACAAATTTCCAAAATAATGCACAGCTGTATGTAAAAGTAACAACCCAAGCTTCCACAAAAAGAACTGTGAAACACATTATTCAGATTAGCACAAACACACTGCAGCAACCTTAACTGTCAGGAAAAAGGAAACAGACCACCTATACCATGTCTTCCAATGAAATGGATACCCACATAATTTTATCAAAAAGTGCCTGGCCACTCAACCTACAGCAGAACCAATACCAACTATGAAAAGGATAACCCTACCATACACCAAAAACATCTCAGAAACAACTAACAGGCTTATTACAACTGTAGGGCATCACAGTAGCACATAAACTAACTAAAGCCTTCCAAAACATCTTAAGTAAATCAAAAGACCCAGTGGCTCAAGAAATTCCTTTGGGCATGGTTGTGTGTACATAACGGTAGTAAATGATGCCTTTCCACAAAT